TTCATATTAAAATTAAAATGATGATGTTGGCTACATCCAAATTCACATTTGCAATATACTTAAGGTGGTAAACATGTTATCCTACACTAGTTGGAAATTTAAATTTACTTAATGACAGACAGCTTCTCAGGAAAATGGGAAAGATAAAAGTTTAAGTTTAATAAACTGCAGGATTTCTTCAAATGGAGAGGGAAAGCAAAATCACCAATAGTAAGGTCAATAAACAGAAATGTGTGTGGTATGAAAAAATGTATGGTACTGAATTAAAAACAATTTTTTCTGTACTAAGACCACTTATTGTAACTAGTCTGTATAAGATTGCTCAAATAACCAATAAAAAATCTCATACATAACCATGGCTATTTTTTCCTGGACTTGCTTGATTTGAATACCAAAAAAGAAACAACTTCCTCAATGGAATCTGCTGGCTAAAAAGGAATTCCAAGTAATCTCAGACAAATTTTATTCTTCTTTTTAACTGCTGAGTATAGAAACCATCGATCAATTTTTTTTAAATTCCCAGAAAAGAAAATCTGTAAAACAAAATATTTTTCATGTACACAAGATACCTATAAGGTATAACAGTACCAATTGTACAACCCCAAGTGGAAGGAGCTTAAGGTGTAGGGAACATTGCATTCAGAAATGAATGACAAAACTAGCTGTGATTGGTGCATTATGTAAGAGTTGTACTTTCTGTTAGGCTTTAGTTGAGCCTCTTGGCAACATGTGAAATTATGTTAATTCATATCTAGATCACATTTTGTATTTTTTAAGATTTTTTTAAAATGTGGTACACATGACTGAAAATGTGTCTTGTGTAACTAGATAACTCTTACCCCTGTCTAGTTCCAGCAGAGTTATCTCTCTTAAATGCAATGGAGTACCTGTTTTCGATGTTATCAAAAAACAATCTAACATTGTTCTTTGTGACAGTGTGTGACATGCATGCTGAGGTAGGATAGAAAGTATATCTATTTCACAAAACATTAGCATTGTGGTCTATGGAAAAGCAATTGGTACCGTGATACCATAAGTGTAGTACAAATAGTATCTGTTGCAGCATTTTGATCCTGAACCTGTTATCATGAATAGAAAATCACTCTCGTTTCAGACAATGTCAAAGCATAACACAAGGCTTGGTTTGGTCAGAACTAAATAATATTATTATAAAAAACATCAAACTTTTAAAAGTGGTATAATTCAAGACATTCTAAAAAATCTGTTCATAAATTGGGTTACCATTACTGACCTAAATATGAGGGCACCCCAAAATAAATACTTTTCCCTCTATCCAAATAACTCAGGTAGGTACTATTGAAATTTATCAGTTTTCATAAACATTTTGTCCAGATAATTGATACTGTTATAGTCCTGCATATATTTCTGACATGTTTAAAATTTTGTTGGTAAACCTATGATAATCTGTTCATTGTGTAAATGTACTGTGTTGGTGATTAATCTTGCAAAAACCTTTTCAGTGAATGTAGACCAGTTTGATATTGATATTGTTTCATTGACAACAAAATATATCACAAAAAAATCTGATAATGATCAATATTTTTTTTTAAAAAATGCTTATAGCAATCTCAGCACCAAAACTCCAAATATGTCAGTCATTGCCCTAAATATAATAGAACCAAATTACTTTGACTGGTTTAAGAATTTAACTGCAAAATATCATTATTTTTAAACAAATTATGAGTATGAAGACCAAATGAACTACATCAAAAATTAGATCAACAGAAAATATACCACATAATAAAGTAAGATCACTCAACTTGTTGACTGAATTTTGATACATATTGTAAGAGTATCAACTGTTTATCCTTTATTATTATTTTAACAAGCTAACAGTCTGACTTGCCTAGTGACCTGCTTGATCATGAGTTGTGTAGTTAGTCAGCTGTTTTACTGCAGATTATTGGCTTCACGTTCAATGAATCTACATGATAATTAAAGTAATAACAGTTTTCAAGTGCAAATAAAACACTCCTTAGTTTATGTTCTAACTTAATTTGTTTTTTTTGTCAGTTTTGAAACATCCTAATTGTGCACTATTTGAAATTATTATTGAAAACTCACATGAACAATTTGAAGAAATAAATTAAAAGCCAAATGAACTTTTGGACACAACAATAATACAAATCGATTCTGATAGATTGTAAGCTGAAATAATCTTTCCAATGAAAAGGTTATATAGTCCTCTACTAGACCTGAGGTCTCAATTAACATTTTTTATTAAAAAAAATTTACCTAATGGAAAATAACTTTCTAGGAAGTTCTTAATGTTTACAATATTAAATGTTAGTTATAATTTGAAAGTATGTTACTAAAAAAATAAATATAACCTGGACAATGTCAGGTACATTGTAGGGGTTTTCCAATAACCTAGACAGACTCAAATAAATATATTTACTTCTATTACCAGTAGTAATGGTCCTGATAATAAACCCATACACAAGTAGAATATTTTAGCTATGTATTTATTGTTTACAGAATAAAATATTAAAAAAACAGTAATTCAAGTCAAGTAAAAAAATAAACTTAATTCTGGACAAGGTTAAGTCCAACATACAATGTTACAATACAATATATAATGAAATAAAAAAATTTTAAAACAAATTACAAACAATCCAAATTAAATATACATAACACATTTCATGGTACCTACAATACAACATATTATTAGACAACTTTTTAAACATTCAAATACTGAAATTGTTGGATTAGCAGAATTATATATATATATATATATATATATATATATATATATATATATATATATATATATATATATATATATATATGCATGCTATTTTTATTGCAAATAGCACAAGGTATCTGTCATGGAGATACCATATTACATCCTCTGTACGAGCATGATACATCTTTTATTACAGCATCTGTGGTGATAAATAGAAAAATGTATATGTGGCGACATAGGTAAATAACAGATAGGTAGCACAGAATGGCTACTTACGTGTCTAATGCATCAGCACTTATAATTCCCATTGGAAGTTTCTCAATACTGGAAATGACACCAGATACTGTCATGGTTCCAAACAAAAACACCAGGCACACTATGGTCCCAACAACTCCAGAACTAAAGGAAAGAAAAAAAAAAAACTACTGCTCAATTGAGAAAATTTTATACAATTTTACTATTATAATTTTATTTTGTTGTAGAAAAGTATATTATCCAAAAATATTTCAGGCTTGTGCTGTTCATCTGGCATCTGTCAAACAAATTATTTCTGCAGTATGAATAGGAGCAAATGTCTGAATTTTTAATCAAAATTAATTTTTTATATTATGATTTCAAATTTCAGCTGTGTATGGGTAAAAACCCATTCTATGGCAGATGTGTAAAATATATATAAAAATATATAGAAAATAAGTTATCAGTATGGGTACAACAACATGAAGTCAGGCGAACGCCAATGCCATATTGTTATGCAATCAAAACAACTGGCCTCAAATGGAGAGATCTTGTTAAATTAACATAGGCACATTGATACCTTTAATATTCTGTTTCTAAGAATACTTAAAATATCAGTTGTTATCTTGTGTTCAAGCTTAACACCCAATTTGTCACAATTATTTTTATAAATATTTTTTTTTAGCAGGAGAAGATGAAGGACATGTGCAATATTTTTGAAAAATAACTGGCACCCTCACCTCCCTTGTAATAGAGGGGTAATATTTTTGTCTTAATCGCAGGCTTCATTTAGGCTGTCATAAATCACCTCATATTAATTTTGGTGTAAATTTATCAAGGAATTGATTGGAGAAAGAATTTTTTAGATGACACTGTAAAATGCAACACATGTATTAAAAAAAGATTGTTGTATGCACCCTTTTCCTTTATCTTTGCTTACTAGTAAAATTATCTGTAAAAATAATTATATGACCAAAAAGCTCAAGCTTGAAGACAAGATAACAACTGCTATAGTTCAAATCAATTGCATTGGTAAAATTCATATTGTGTCACTAAGAAACAGAATATTAAAGGTATAAATGTGCCACTAATGAGATTTCTGCATGAGGCCAGTTGTTTTGATCACGTGACTATATGGTGTTGGCATTCACCTGACTTCATATAGCATAGTGCAATGCAGGCAGCATATGATGCAGGCAACCAAACTAATATATTCATTGATAAGTAAAGTTAAAATGCAAACAACAAAGATCCATATCTGCCATAGAATAATTCACCTGCAGATCAGGTTCTGTGGTGTTTGCTCTACCTATTACTCCTAACAAACTGCAAAAACCCAGATTTGATGGCATATTATGAGCTGGCTGATCTAGGTCTGTTCAGTTTATTGTCAGACTCAAGATCGAGTATATATGTTTTGTACAAGACACAAGACACAAAGAGAGAAACCAAATATATAAACATGAACTCCAGATGAACTTTAATATAAAAACAATACATAATACAAATAATACATAACGTGCATCATTTTAACAAATGTATATATATATAAAGGACTGAAAAATCTGATACTAAATTTAGGTCAAGGACATTTTCTTTGAACTTATCTGTGTTAAATTTTAAAAGTCGAGATATGTTATACTGAAAAAAATTGAAAACATTAAAAATTTAAAATGTCATATATTTAGATGGATTTTGTTCATTTAACATTTAAATATATATTGTTCAACTGATCACCTGACAGACATCTGCAAACTAAATACAAGCTGCCCAAAAAATCTAAGACAGTAGGATTCTTTCTTAAATTTCTTCCAATGCTGCTGATTGTATATGGATGTGTTCTGATGTGATTTGGATTGTTAACGCAGCTTTAACAATTGTTCAGTCACATTGCTATGATTTCCACAGTGAGGCAGTTTACAGTAATTTCTAACACTGGGGCATCATGCTGCAGACACGTAGCATGATGTGCCACCCAGTCACCAGTCCTAACACTAACCTCTTAATGCTTAGCACCGAGTGAAGCAGCTGTTAGAACTAATTTTATAAGTCTTTGGTATAACTTGGCTGGGGATTGAACCCATGACCTCCCACATCTAAGGCGGATGCTCTAACCACTAGGCCACCAGAGCAGTGATTGCATATGGAATAAAAACAGTCGTTTCTAGGTTAATTTGCTCAATTAATCAAGAAATCCTCATTCCGAAACCAAAAATCAAAACTTTGGACCAAAGTGTAAAATTACTATAAAACTTGTATTGATAATTCGGAACTCTGTCCAAAAATAAGAAAATTGGAAAAATTATGTATGAAAATATAGTCAGTCAGATAACAGATTCACCTACATAATTTTGGAGGTGTGTCAATGTATCAATTTTCTGATTGGTCAAATGTTAGTGGTATGTTTAAGTTATCAACTGATCATGCGATCATGTGTGGAAAAACTAAGTAGCGGGACCATTTTGTAACTAGCGATTGCATAAATAATGTGCTATGATCATGATTTTTAATGTAGCTTTAACAATTTTTTAATTATATCTCTATGATGTCTGCAGTGTAGCAGTTTATAGTGATGTCTATCACTGGGGCATCATGCCACAGACATGTAGCATGATGTCTCACCGTGTCACATTATCTGACAACAAGTGGACCACTCCTAAAACTAACCTCTTAATGCTGAGCGCTAAGTGAAACAGCTGTGAGTACCATTTTTGCAAGTCTTTGGTATGACTCGACTGGGGATTGAACCCTCGACATCATGCTTCTAAGGTAGGCACTCTAACCACTAGGCCAACAGAGTGGTGTGTATAAACTATGTCTGTTTCAGCTAGTTGCCAACGGAGGTGTTAACACTAGGGCATCATGCTGCAGACATGTAGCATCATGTCCCACCGAGTGACATTATCCAGACACCAGGCCAACCTAAGATTAACTTCTTAATGCTGAGTACATAGTGAGGCAGCTGTAAGTACCATTTTTATAAATCTTCAGTAAAATTTGGCTGGGGTTCAAACTGGTGACATTCCACATTTAACTGCTTGGTATACAGTGTACAACAAAATCCAATTTGAGCTTAGTTCAAAAACTTAACTTATGTCATTTCAATGTGAAATATACCTCACCATGACCTTTTGTACTTACAAAGACGTATGCAACTATCAAATTTTCTAGCATGAACAAAGCTTAAGAAATAAATTTAAAGCACAAAATTTAGCCAAAGCCAGTGAAGTGAGAATTATGGGACATGGCTAGTTACTTTGTTCTGAGCATTGAGTACTACTCATCAAGGTGAATCACTTCACAATGTCTCATGATTCCACTATGTTTCTTGATTCCAGGTATGAAAGTATCTATAAATGATAAAACAAGAAATTTGAGTCAAACCTGTGGAAGCAAAATTTTATAGTAAGATATGTTTCTTCATAATTTAATGATCAAATTAGCTTAGAAGAAATGCCATGACCTTACAAATCTAGCTTTCCCAGATAACACTTTCAGATAAAAACAGCTGAAATTTATCTGCCCACATCGGTGGTGGTAAGGTATATTGATATCCCTTTGGTATAGGAATTGTTGCCAAATCCCAAGAACATATCAGCTACTACTTGAATGGAAGACATGCTCTCTATGATGATATAAATGCAGGAAGGCTGGGAGGGTGTATATGTAATGTGATTTGGTAAGAATTCCCAAAGAAATATATTTTACTATTAAAAATTTGCTTTTTCTTCTTTCAGTATGTTACTAAATCATATAACCTTAGGAAAATAGGTAAGAGGTGGAGGGAGGTTCATCCCTGAGGTATGTATGACAGATTCTAGTTGAACTAACTGGGGAGCAGCTTCCAAAATAGAAATATTTTACCTATTATAAATCCAGTGGAAGTCATGAAGCAGCATCTTACAAAACTGCTGTATGACCTGGAAAGGTAACCTGTCATGCCACAATTATAGGTCCCACCAGACTGAGTTGAGACCTTTGGGATGAAAGATCTAGGAGGTAAACGGGGGAAAGTGGACTCTGATCTCCATCCCATAGCATGCATGATGACAGAAAACAATTTCAGACAAAGGCTATGCTTGTGGCAACTGCTCAATCAACGTGATCCAGAATGCATAACAAATTCATTCAGCAGGAATTATTCCTAGATATGCAGAATGCATAATCCACTTAATCCAGAACAAAAGGGTCTTTGCTGTTATATCATCCTGTCCCTGTTGGGGAGATAAAAATAAGCATTTTCTACCTCACACAATGGCTTTGATAATTAAAGTTACCACTTCAAAGCTCATACTGGATCATGCATGTGGTGTGGAACTGAAGTGTCCTGGCTAGACAGGATTTCAATTACAACAGTCTGGTTACCCACCCAAAGGAAGCCTTTTCTTGGCAATGAAAGAGGGTACCTTCCTGAGTGAAAGTCACCCATCTTGCCAGAATTGTACATAATCCAGATCCATTGATAAGGCAATAATATGCTGATTTTGCCTTCTATTGTTATTGTAAATGAGGAAGCAGATCTTGCATAAAAGGTGATTCAATGATGCTCTTATAAGTGGGGTGCTTCATGAGTGCTATTGATTCATCAGGTTGGAACTGTAATAAGATTGGTCCACCAAGAAATGTTTTGCTGATTTTGCCTCATGACTGAACTAATTTGAACTAATGCTAGTGAGAGCAGTTCAGTTGGTATCTTGTTTAGCCTGATCAACCTCCAATAAAATTCCACTTAAGCAAGGGTCCAGTGCTATTGGCGAGGTGGAATCCAAACAAACAGAAGATCACACAGATCTGTTTCATGTGATTTCCTCTCCTCTATGATAGTACCACCCTGTGCTAGTGATGGTGAAATGGTAAGGTTAACTGTGATGGATGCTAACTGTTTCTCATCAAGGTGCCTAGGAAGTTAGCTAATGTGGTATGTATGTCTTCATTAGAGATAAAAAATAAAGTACTTTGGTGTGAACCACTGAGATTATATTCCATTGCCTTCCTATACTGACCCAGTTGGTTGTGTAATCTCTATTTTAGTAGAGTAATCAGGATGAAGAGTTACTTATTACTTTTGGTTCCTGTATCACATTTAGAATCCAAGGTGTTTAGAAACTGTATACATTCAGCCATTCCAATGTATAGGAAGCAGCAATTAACCCTGCATTTGAGCCCAGGGTTGGTATGACGTAAGTTTGGAAAATTGTTCATTTGTCAATGACAGGTCTCCACTAAAACCACATAATCATTGTTATTACAGCTGAACATAATACTTAGTCCCCAGGTTTACTGTTAGATACACAGGTTGTCATGGTAAATCTTCTCCAATCAGTCAGAAAAATCTTCTTCCTTCTAGAATCTGAAATATGGATAGGATGTGGGGCCTGCAGTCTATCATTGAGATAGTGACTGTCTTGTGGAAATGCTGATGGAAATGCTGACTTCCACTTAGTTGTAGGAATGTTTCCCAGTGGCATGCACTCTAGGGACATCCCTGCAACCTGTTTGTTGCCTCACAGATCCCTTTGCTATAAGAGAGAGGAATGGTAATTTGTAGTAAATTCCATCAACTTGACAATTAAGGTAGCATAACAGATGGTGGAGGATGCAGTGTACCTTGGGACCAGACAAGTCTATACGGTAGCAGAGAGCCTTGAATCTTGTCCACCTGATGTAAGTTCAAAGTAGCTATTATGGCTATAGATTGTTGTACCTCTATGTCATTTAGTGTTCAATTTTTGTGGTGGAAGGATACAAGATGTGGTTCACCTAATAAGGATCATCAAAATATTGGATTCACGTTGATCGCATGGTCATGATGCTGCAAATCAATTCATGAGTATTCATATTGAAAACAGGGAGACATTTGTGATATAATACACCTGCAGATGCTTCGAACTCATAATTGACAATATACTCAGTCCCAAAATATCAATAGTTTGCATTCTATTCATTGAGGTAGGGAAGTCAAAGTAGTTGGAGAAGACTGGAAGCCCACTACACATGCAGCACTTATGAGACAGATCATGTTACTTCTAACATGTAACTAGGTAGTCACTTGAGTGGAAGAGGCCTCAGGGCGAGTGAAGTCACCCCTTGAAAACAGGCCCCAAGATGGACATCTTACTCCTGAAGTGTTTGAGGTATTATTCTTGGCAAGACTGACCCATGACAGGTGTCTATATAAACTATATGCTTTCTACAGGAAACTCCTAGCAGTACTTTATGGTTCGACTGACCCATGAGTGCCTGTATAGACTGGACGTTATCCACTGGAAGTGCCTAGCAGTACTATGCAAGCTACACTAATCCATTTATAAATGGTTAAATGAAGTAGACTCAATGGTAGAATGGATCTAAACTGGGCATTATTACTTGACAAGAGCTTGGCAGTAATATGTGAGAAATGGACAAGTCTGCATTCTGGTGACTGATAATGTAAGACTGATTGTGGTCATGGACCATTGTGATCAGTTACATGGCCAAGTCCAGTTGTGAAGGATCTTGACTGGCATGATGTAGTCCAGTTCTTGAGGTTGGAACAGATTACTGGATGCTAATTCACATATCCAGTCCATAATTCTGATGGGAAAAGTTATGACATGTTCTCCTTACTGCACTGCATCTCGCTGCTCAGGAATGATGTGGTACAAACCCTCAGATGCAGGCTTCGTTTTCATCCCTCTAGCTGACCGACTTCTATCCAAAAAGGCAAGTCAGACAGGTATTGCAGGAAAGACAACCAGAGAAAATTACACATGTAGAGTTGTTGTCAGACAAGTCTTGCCCATGGTCTAAATCTGCAAGACAAAATAAAGCAGGTCCTACATACAGTTAGTTGTGTGAGTGACCTGCTTTGAATTTGTACAAAACTATGCAGGGTTACCCACTATGACAAACACCTATAGAGGGATGCATGTGACCTGTACAGGTAGAAAAGTGTCAGGAGTATTGATAATTGGATGCTAAACATACAATTAGAAGGCAATGACCTGTAGGCATGTGAATATGAATCAATAGAGCATCACTTTAAGAACTTACATGGACCAACTGCAAAGCAAAAATCAATTCTAATATGAGCTTGCCACACACAAAGGCCAATTTTTTTGATGCCTATTCAGACATAAAAAAAAATCAATCAAGCATTGCTTATAGTAACACTCCATGAGCTGGACACTACTGAGTAAACCATATATAGAAAACTGGCCTGTACTTACCTGACCAGAGAGGAAGCTATATAGTAATATAAACAAGTTTTCTATATAACACAAAAATCTGCACATAAAAGGGAACTAAAGTAACATACAACTTAGGTGCTATATTATCCATTATGAGAAAATTTTACCTGTTGGAAAAGACCAATAACATTCTATACTGGTAAAAATAATAAAGTGCTAACAGATGGCATTATGAAAGCAATGAAGCATCAATATATAGTATCAAATACTAACTGTCAGAAGGCTCTTAATGACTGCCTGTATCAGTTACACTAAAAGAACTGGTATACAAATTTATCTGTATATATCTGGTCATAGCAGAAATTATACACAGATTATGAGTTTTCTATAACCACTATATGCTCTCACCCATGCATAAATTACAATTTAAGCTAGGACTATTGTAAAGTCATATAGACTACTGGTGCAAGTACGTAAATACCAGCAAGTAATGGCAAAATGCTTTAATTTGTAAAGGCAAAACTTTGTCATTATAGAAAGAAAAGATGGAAATATTGAATGAGTATTCTGTCCTTTGAAGTGAAAAAGCTTCCTATTTTTGTGGGTAGGATTTCAAGTTTTGGTAG